TAATCTCTTTTCATTTTAAAACCGGTTTCAGCGACAGGGAAATGAAATGTAATGGCTTGTGAACAGACCCACAAGCGTCCTGTTCCAGGTTTAAACTTCACGATCCAATGTGTTTAAGTAATTGTTCCTAACGCTTCTTGCATCTAAATTGGAAACAAAACGTAGTGTATTCTCTCCGGTAAGGATGTTATATTACCACGCGACTGTAATTACGACAACTTGTATCAGGCGGTTTCACATCGGAATCTGTGTGTTTGTCTTCTTTGTCTTCCCGTTCGCTTTAAGCTTAAAGTTCTTTGCCTTCCTTCTTTCAACAACCCCGTTTTCAGTATGCGTATCTTGTCTGTAGTATGCTGATAATTATTTCGGCAGTAGACGAATTAACAGCTATAGCATAGCTGCTGATTGCTTGTGAGAAAGAATTGTGATAGTAACTTTGTGGGATTATCTCGAGATGAAATAAGTTTACAATATTTGGATAGCTGGTATGCGCAAGGGTCAATTCTCCAACCTTGTGTGCATTGTGATGAAGTTTATAAGTTCGGAATAGTTGAAACCTTTCAGTCTTGATATCCATCACTGATGGTTGATAAAATGATTCTTAACTGCATGAGTTCGCTCTTTACGCTTTGTTTTATGCTTAGCATGAAAAATGACGGCAGAAGGGATTAGACCGAGCCAAAACTAAGTATGAGGACACTTGCAAGAATAAAATTAAATAGTAGATCAACAATATCGATAGAAATAATCGAAGAAAACTCACCACTGTGAAACGAATCCATCACGAGCCAGAGCTAACCGGAAGCTCAAAAATTCGCCAGGTCCGGTTGCTATGGAGTGATGTCATTTATCTGTTAAGTTGCTGTCATCGCAAGACTTTTGCGGTTCTATTGTGGTTAGCGATAATTGCTTTCAATGAGAGTAATTGTGTACAAAAGTAACCTCGTGGGGAATTAGAAAGGATAGCCCACACTGTCTCGTCTTCACAAGATTTTATTCTTCTCCTCTTCGATTCTCGCTAGGTTTCACAACTCTTTGACTCGACTGACTAAAAGATTACTTCGACTCAAAAGCTAATTAAATCACAAACAATTGTTTCTTATCTTTGAGGCACACCTTAGTTAAAGTACGCTGATTGGTTAGATACGAATCTTCTAGACATAAGAACAACAAAGATTTCCAGACAAACATTTCACAATCACTAATTGATATCTATGGTATTATCCTGTTTCCGACAACCTGGTTATTTTCAGATATGATCTGGCCACATAATTGATATTTTATAATAAATTTTCATAACGCGGGAATATTGCGCGGTCATATATAAAAAATAGGTACGCAATGCGTACAGGTGTCTACTGCGAAATTTCAGGTAACGGTGCAAAATAATTGATGAAATCTATGTTTCCTTGTATCACGAATTGAAGAGGGTATTTGGATTTTGGTTAAGAAATGTTTATCAGCCAATATTTTATGTACATTAGATGTAGTGCATTTTTCCGAGCTTACTGGATGTTTGGATATTTATGTATTTTTGAACTATTTTATTGGAAAAATGTTTGGATAGAATTTAAAGATACAATGAATGATTCCCCCTTTTTTGCAGAAAAAACTTTATTTATTTAGCGCAATTCGTTTTCTGTTTTTCATGTGACGGATCATTGTTTTATCAGATACAATAATTAAAGATACGAGATAACCAATAGTTGAAAATACACTTGATTAGTATAATATATTACACAGTTATACAAAGTAAATATAGGCTTGAGCTATTTTATTTATACATTTTTTACTTGATATTTCTAATTCCGATTACTGCAGTCTATAATTTTGAGATTTATCATAAAAATGTTATAATTAATTTTGTAAGCTGTTAAGATATGTACTGACTGCCACTGAAGGGTGATGGTATAGGAAAAGTGAAAAAGTTTTTCATGACTATTTACATGTAGTATTCTCTAGTAGTTCGATTATCTGATTGGACTGTGTATTAATTTTCATTTTCATATTTTCGATTTGAAGTAACTTTTCGGCTATTTGATCCGTGTTGGAATCTGTGGTAAGGCTTATTCTGGACAATAAGCTTTCCATTACATCTGTCAGAGCAGTAAACCAGCGATCTTTTCCATCTATTTCGGCGCAAAGGCGTGCAGACATTCCTTTTTCTTCCGCTTTAACTTTTTGACTAGTTTCACATGAAGGGCATTTGAGAACAATTGAGCCTGCTGCATGCGGCATTTTTTTCTTGCAAGACATTTACTTTATCAACAAATTTGAATTCTTGGATAACAATTTCCTTCTCAGTATTTGAAAGAAGTTGTGGGCCTTTTACTTCAGCTAGTTGGAGGTCTACTTTTTGGAATGTTGTTGTTGGTGTAGTACCCAGTAATGTCAATCCTGAATAATTCTTTACGCTAAGATTTTGGAAGCTGTAAGTGTTTCCACTCTGTAGTTGGGTTAGCACGTTATCCCAGATATGTATAGTGGCAGAACCAGTGTGATCTTCAATCACACAGTTTTCTTTTACGTATTCTTTTTCACCATTTCGTTTAATGACTTCTTTTTTTGGATTTTGACCAAGTGTTAGGTGGCCTTGTACATTAACCTTTTGATTTCTTGTCAGAGTTTGAATTTCATTTAGTTTTATATTTGTTGCACTGGAGATTGTTTCATTTGGTTCCCCTTGCTTTGCCGATGGAGCTATGCACAGAAAGTTAAAATCACTGCTGCTAGCTTGGACAATTGAGCTTGTTTGGTTGACAAAGATTGCATCATCTTTTTCATTAATGTTGACAATTTTAGCTGGACTTTTTGTAGCCTGGAAATGCAATGTTTGAGCATGTGAATTCTTGTCAAATCCAACCACTCTTATGAATTTACTTGGTGATGTTTGAAGGTCGAAATTGTAGTACAATTTTCCAGACCTTNTTGACCAAGTGTTAGGTGGCCTTGTACATTAACCTTTTGATTTCTTGTCAGAGTTTGAATTTCATTTAGTGTTATATCTGTTACACTGGAGATTGTTTCATTTGGTTCCCCTTGCTTTGTCGATGGAGCTATGCACAGAAAGTTAACATCACTGCTGCTAGCTTGGACAATTGAGCTTGTTTGGTTGACAAAGATTGTATCATCTTTTTCATTAATGTTGACAATTTTGGCTGGACTTTTTGTAGTCTGGAAATGCAATGCTTGAGCATGTGAATTCTTGTCAAATCCAACCACTCTTGTGAATTTACTTGGTGATGTTTGAAGGTCAAAATTGTAGTACAATTTTCCAGACCTTGCTTTTTTAATAGGCGATAATGAGTGAATGTAACCAACGTCAGTATCTGAAATAGAGAAATAACATGGTGAGAAACATATATATTAAAAGTGGAGAAGAGGGTATTAATATGGTTTTTATTATTATTACTTACTTTTATATGTATCTTATTTAAGAAAACGTTTCGTGAATTTGCAAAGTAATGGATAATTTACTTGGCCGCTTACCTTTTCGCTTTGAATTCTCAGCCATTCTTCTCAGCTGATGAAAAAAAAAAAAAAAAAGGAAGGGAGGGGTTTAAAAAATGTTTCAATAAATAAAAATGTGAGATCTAATTATACCACCACTTAGAGATAAGACATGGACTAATAACTATTAACAAGTTAGAACATGCAATGTCTGAAAGATTTTTTTAAAATTAGTTTTTGTTGTAGGTGAAGTTTTACAGTAGCCAAATAATTATAAGGGAAACATATTGTTACTTTTACAGTAGATAATTGGCTCTCGTTAGTGTGTGTTTAAGGAATTGTTTTCATTAACACATATTATACGGCAAAGCTAGCCAGATGGCTTTATGATCAGTGAAATATGTTTCTAATGTTCCTGAAGTGGTATCAGCATGTGAATCTGATAGGAAGTCTGTGTATATGTGGTCAATTATTGTTCTGTTATCAGTTGTATAATGTGAAATCAGTTGTTTATAATTTCTTTCTGTTACAAGAAGGTTGTAGAGAGGTCTTCTTTCAATTTCATTCATCCAGTTAACATTAAAATCTCCAATGATAATGTTGTATTGGGAAGAAATGCTGTCTAATACTTGAATAAGTGACCTACACAAAAGTGTGAGGGAAATTTTTGGTGAACGGTAAATTGCTGTTATTGTTACATTTGGCAGGGTAGATACTTTTACAACTGTTATCTCAATACCATTTGTATTGGAATTGTAAGGGAGGCCAGATGCAAAAGAGTGTCGACTATAAATTGCAGTACCACCATAGGGTCTTGTGTTAAAAACCTGGTTATCATTTCGAAACAATTGATATCCTTGTATGATGTACATGTTATCATCATCAAGTGGACTGAACCTAGTCTCTGAGCACATAATTAACTCGGCATTGTTGAAATTGTGTTCGTTGCGTAAATCGTCAATATGTTTATGAAGTGATCTTGCGTTTAGAAAACACAACTTGAAAAAAGATGAACTAAGTTCATAAAGGCGAGGAATGCAAAGGTTAAGGGAGGCCTTTGTTCGTAATCTAGCCATTTCAGTTTTCACATCCGAATGAACCTGAATTTTGTTCTCACAAAGGTCTGTAATGTACAATCCTTCAATAGTTGTTACTCGACTTAACGCAACATAATGAACATGAGGTATTTTCCTTTTTGTTTCCAAATTTACAACTATTCTTGTTTCAGTATCCCCTTGAGATCGATGTATAGTTTTAGCAGCAGCTGGCCGTAAAGGAAATTGCTTTCGAACAACCTGAGCAGTTTTGGTTTTGCCAACAGCAAACTGCACAGTGACGGGCTTTATTGGAGTCCAAGTGTGTTGAATTGATTGCATATATAGATGCCTATTTTCTCGTCTTGTTCTTTCCCCTACATTACTATGGTCAAATAACACCCATATTATTCCAGTTGGTTTTTGTATTTGATGTAGGTGAATGAATTTAACCACTCCAGCTGCACCATTTGTAATGCCATCTTCTGTCCGTACATTTATGGCTGTTTCTACTCTTTCACCTTCACTCAGTTTAAGATTTGATCTTAGCTGTTTAGTTTTTGCTGGATCGTTAGGTATTTGGTTCATTATCTTCCTCCTTAGTTCTGAAGAATTTGCTCCAACTACACTGTCCTGTGCTTTGACATTGAACTTTTTGTTAAAAGATGCATGGTGAACTCTGTCGTTGAACTCATTAACTTTTTTGTTCTGTATAAATAAGTGAGGTGCGTCTGAGGGGTATGTTGAGCTATTTGGTGTAATAAGTCTATCTTTTATTTTTAAGAGATCATCGTTTGTGTGATTTCCTTCTCTAAGTCTGTTCAAAATTTCTGCAAATATTTTACTCTCTCTTTGCCTCATGATTTCATGAAGCTCAAACATTTTAAAATGCTCTTTCCATAAGTTTGGTAGAAGTATCCCATATTGCAAATCTTCAAAATTGTTAAAAATATAACCATCCATTACTGGCTTTAGCTGAAATAAATCACCTATTGCAATGATACTAACTCCTCCAAAATCATCTTTACTGCCTTTTATATCTTTTAATCTGCAGTTTACCTGAATATTAAACATGCAATTACCAACCATAGAAATTTCATCCACAAATATAAGTTTAAGTTTTCCGAGTTTACACCTAAGGGTATTAAGTCTACTAGAATCGAGGGGCTTGTAATTTTTTAGTGATTGATTTGCTGGTATCGCCAAAGCACTATGTATAGTGTTTCCTTTTATGTTGTAACTTGCCTTCCCAGTTGGTGCTAGTAATAACACTTTTATGTCATGGAAATCTTCTCCTGCGTTATGGTTATAGTATTTTAGAGCTGCTTGATATAATGCTTTAACGAGCCACGATTTACCAACGCCAGCTCCTCCACTTAGAAAGCTGTAAAATGGCTTGTCAGACGTTTTAATGAGATGCAAAATATGATAAAAGAACTCTTTCTGCTGTTTGTTTAACTTTTGGACCATTTGTCGGTATTCTTGATCAGGCAGTTCATTTAGTATAAGGATATCATTATTAACTGTATGTGGAGTAATGCCAATGTCTTCTGATAAATCATATGTTTCACTGAAGTCAGGATGCAAGTCATTTAGACCTTCAGTTTGATCTTGGAGTTCTCTATGCTGTGTGTTTGGTGCAATTGTATCAAAACAATTATCGTCTATGTCTTTTAAATCATTTAGAACTTCATCTAGTTGTTGACTGAAAAATGCATACTGGTTCATCTGTTTTGAGATTTCGTCTTTTAAAAAGCAGAAGCGTTCTTCAAAGGTGGAGCAATTGCCTATGAGATCTGTCTTTTCATTTCTCCATGGATAAAAAAGCATTATTAATTCACGGTAATGTTTTTCGGGGTTAGTCTCTCTGTTAAACCAAACACTTCTGATAATCCTTGCTTTTGACCGTTGCTTGCTTTTATCAGCTTCTCCATTATCATTCTCAGAGTTATCATCACTATTTTTGTCATCAATACAGTGTTCTTGTAGTAGACTATCAGCATCCAATTTTCGTGTTCTCTTCCTATGGGGTTTTCCATATGAATCATACCATGCTACCCAATCTGCCAAAGTCACATTAGTAAGGTTATGAGGCCTTTCAGTATATCTTTTGAGAAGACCTCTGGTGTGTATGTCTTCACAATCATCTTCCATCATTTCAATTTCATTCATAGACTTCAATAGATCAACTCTTTCATCGGGAGGCGCAGTAGGTATAAATATTACTTGTCGTGATGATTTTTTCATTGGAATTTGAAACACTAAATAAACTGCTTCTTGGGCTGATATTTCTACACTGTTCAGAAATTTATTGCCTATATCTCTTACTTGCTGTTTTATGCTGGCATTGCCATTCTTAGCCTCATCACATGCCTTTCGAAGTAATTCACTCATACCTTTCTGTGCCTTTGATATATAGGATACAATGTACACGGCACAAGCATAAACATCAAGGATAAATTGTATGTCCATGTTAGCTCTCCATGCACTGAGACACGGTGCATTGTAGTTGTTAATTCTTAACTCATTTGGCTTCCTCTTTAGGAATACAGTTGGAGAATTAAGAGATGAACGCAATGCTAGTAGATAATCTTCTTCTGTTACATTTAGATGAGACAAAAGCTCATTAAAAGTAATACCTTGACCTTCTTTTAAGTCATTTAATTCTTTCTTAATATGTGTCCACATTTCTTTATAATGTTTAAGCAAGTGTGTTTCAATGTTGTTATCAAGAGGATGCAATATCGTAGTTCTTTCCATAGGAGGTTGTGGATAGTTGAATCTACATTCATTCTTCTTTCTTTTCCTACACGTATGCGAATGTCGATGAATTTGCCTGTTTACTAAGGTGATTAGGTTTGAATTGCCATTTGGTTTTTGGCAGGTAATAATGCTATCAATGAAAGAGATGACTTCATTATCATCGTCGATTCCGAATATTGGTGTATCTTTTATCCATAGCAACATGTGAATATGAGGTGAACCCCTTTGCTGATATTCAACTCTATAAAATTGGTAATCAAAACGTCTTGCACATGTCACTGGATCGCTTTGGATTAATCTACATTTCTGTTCCCAATTTAAGTTCTCAAGTTCATTATCACAATATTCTTTACCATCCACCAATTTAGCAAGAATTTTTAATGGGTGTATCCACTGTGTCTCCAAAACAGAGTTGCTGGGCCCAGCTGTCTTATCATTGCAAAGAGATCTTTTTTAGCAGTTTCAAAATAAGGTGGGGAGCCTCGTAATGCTCTTAAAAATTTAAACCCTTCGTCAAAATGAACTAATCTTTCTAAAGCTCCTTCCTTTTTTAAATGCCCAGCAGTAAGAGAATTGTTGAGACCTTTGCATTTTCGCATCGCAATCTGTGATTTACCTAAGAGAATTTTCATTTGTAACTTTTTGGTTTTAAAAAAGATATTTTCAATGCACATTGCTGCTCTTCGATCGGAACGTCTCAATTCAGATGTACATATATCACTATAATGAACTGGTACAATTCGTTTGTCATTTTCAGGTCGTTTTTGCCCTAAAAATATGCCAGGGTATGCTAATTCCTCAGAATGTTTGTCTCTAAAAATACTAAGAGGAGTAGAACCTTCAGCTGGTGCAACATTAAGAATATTCTCGCGTTCGTTGTCGTTTAGAAAATCTGTAGCTGTTAACATGGTGTCTGTAACTCCTGCTGGTATTCCATCTTCATCCTCACTCCAATTATTCTCATTTATACATGATAACTGATTATCTGCAGTTCTATTTTCAGAATTGCATGTGATCACATTGTCACTATTTTCTAAAGGCTTGTTGGCATGCTCATCTTGACTTCCTGAAATATTGTCAACAAAATTTGATTGCCAGTCACGGTTAACGATTATTCCTTCTTCTTTGTAAAGATCACTGTTAGTGATAAGCCAATCGGCTGCTTGCACTACTTTATGCGGTCTTACATTTAACGATAATGCAAAACTCTTATATTGCAATTTTCTTTTCAACTGTACTTTAACTGTTCCAGTTTCATTTTCTAACCTAGGTAGCAGATTGACTGTGCTAGTGACATCTGCTGGTACATTAACAATATTTCCATTTATTTTTAATTGATTTCCTCTTGGGGCCTGCATTAGTTTTACAAATGCTAATCGTGGGGCAAGTAATCTCCATTCTAACTCATTTAAGTCCAAAAATGGCGGTTTAGTTTTAAACTGCATGCCATTAACAGCAGCAAATGGTGGAACTTTATTATTTTTTTTAAATGCATTTTGCATGTGTTGCATAACCACTCTTTGTTGTTTACACTTGTTTTATTTAACAGATATTCTGAAACATTTGGATTATTTAATCTAAAATTGTCGGCAAGGGAAACACTATGTTTGTACCATAATTGATCACAACAAGTACAAATGTAAAGTGGACCTTTGGAGACAATAGTATGAAAATTGGAAATTAGATTCTCAATAGACCTTTCATACTGTTTATTTTCATGAAGTCTTTCTTCTGTCTCATTCTTTTCTGCAAATACTCGTTGCTGTAAATTTTTAGATTGTGGGAGTGCTTCTGGTGTATGTTCGTTTTGTGCAGGAATAAACTGTTGTGTGTTTTTGGGTTGTGCCAGTCCCTCTGCTGTAGTTTTTCTTTGTACAGCTCGCCGTTCTCGTTGGTATTTACGTTGTTTGGATAACCTTTTTTCTCTACACTCACCGTTTTCATTGGCCCTTCTTTTTCTCATATATGTCATGAAATAATCATTTTTGTGAGATTCAATGGCGGAAGAACTCTTCGATTCATGTATGCTGGTGCTGCAGCTGTTTGTTATTTGTGTTCTAAATAATTCTGGAACATCTGGAACTGTAGAGACATAATGAACCTCATTTATGTGGCCTAAGTAAATAGTCCTTTGTTCTCCTTGCAAGGTTACGGCAGGTTCAATTATTGTCCTCTCTGTAAAATTATGATGAGATTCAATGATATGTAGTGTTATACCTAATGCATTTGCTACAGCCTGCACTATGAGACAATCACACCATGTTCCTTGCATGGACATATTATTTAAATAGCCTAGCCATGAATTTGCAACATTGCTCTCAATAAATTCTTCTGGGTGAGCCCTAAGATACTGAATACCAGCATCTCGAATTGCAAAATGACAGTCTGGAGTGCCACACAACTGATGTGAAGCAGCTTTAAAAAAACAATCTCCATCACCGCCAACATCTAGTGGCCTTAAGTCGATCGTTCTTAATCTTTGTGTTAATACAGCAAATGCCAATTGTGTGGGTCCTGGATTCAGTTCAATATCACCAGAAATTAACAGTTTCCTTCTTGCTACACGAAATATATCCTGAGGTAATGTTGATCTTAATGAGACATAAAATTTACTCTTTCTTTGACAAAAATCGGAATTTGAGTAAGAAATAATTGGATATCTCTTTAAAATCTTTCGTGCGGAGGAGCTAATCTTATTAAATGAAATGTTTTTGATTTCTTTGTTTTCCGCTGCGGTACTCAAGGAGACCACCTTAATATTACGACGCTTACAATAAAACTTGCTGAAGAAACAATCGCTTCTGTATTTATGCATCACATAGTAACTTTTAAAGTTAGCTGCTATCCTTCTTAGTCTAGATGAAGGTGGACACAAATTCCTGAGTGTTAATTTTAGACTTCTTCGAATCATTCGTTTCTTCATTGCCTTTAACTGAAATCTTTTTCAGATTTATCCTAGATGGTTCACGGCTTCTACTTTTATACACTTTGTAGCCTCTTTCTCTTTGTCTTACTGTTTTCCTCTAATTATTATCATGAAGAAGCACGTGACCTCCATCGCCCTTTGTCAAGTGCAAGCGTACCATATGCCGACTTTTATCACACACAGTCTGGAGAACATCGATAAATCTCATACGATAATTGTATTTAACACATTCTGTAAGGTTGAAAGAAAATTGAAGATTTACGACAGGAATATATGGAAACAGTTTTCTTGAAGCCAATTTACTCTTGTGAAATGTACAAACCAATTTGTGGCAAAACAAGTCGACATATTTTGGACTGCTGTTGCGTAAAACTGCAATTGCTCGCATTCCAAATTTATTCTGGTGGACAGGATAAAGATATTTGTTTACAATTGCCCGCATTCCTTCACGACTACAAAACTCTGCATGATCATTTACACAATTGGAAAGATCGAGAAAATGTGAAATGTAAAAACGGCCACTAAAAGACAATAAATTTGAAAATAGCCCAAAATTAAAGTTAAAGAAGCAAATATACTGTTCTGGAGAACTCACAACTCTTAGTACGCTTACTGCTTTTTTGCTTTGCTCTAATGGATAGGACATTTTATTTGTGTTCTGCTTTTGTAACCGTGCTAGTGTGCCTCGAGTTTGGGACCAAAGTGGGTTGATTTTTGACCGAAGTGGGCCTATTTTTGACCAAAGTGGGTCGCTTTGAGAATTTCTAAACATCTTCAAGGTTCTGTGAACAACAGACAGCGTTGCTTCACCGGGCGCTAGAAGACGGCACTTACGGTTCATGACTCATTCATTGGACGATTAAACTTCTGCGAAGTAAATAACGCTCCCAAAAAAATTGTTCCTCCAACTTTTTGCGTGAAAAGTTAATTACAAAAACAAATTACAAACTAAAACTTACCTTCAGCAAAACACGCTTCGTATATCCCCACTGCTACAAGTCTTCACCGCACGCCCCAACAGCATACAATGACTGCACTGAGTTACCTCTTTCCAGGACTTGAGTTTATAGGGATTTATGTTCGGACATATTTAATCGCTCTGTTTTCACTTGTGATTGGTGGAGATTGCAAGCGTGATAATTTATTGATTACCTACGGATTATCGATTTTAACAAACTTTTCCTTCAGTTTTTCATGGCTTAGTGTCTTCTGCACAAGCGCAGTAGACACAAAAAAGACTTCGACTTCGAATGAACCCGTCATCGGTCGTTGAAAACGGACACAAAACGAGATGTGCCTCTGAGTTAGAAGATATGGTGTCTCTCTGACGTATTTGTGCGAAATTGAGCCAGTTTCCAATCGAATTTGCCTCTAGGGGTTAAAGAAGGCGCGTGGGTTTTCTTTTCACGGAAAGGGAAAGAAAGGAGCTGCCCTGACTATACATTTGGATTGGCTTTCGCTTAAACCATAAAGCAGTTGTTGAAAACCAAACGAAACCGCCAGCCACGATTGATTTATACTTGAATTCATTCACCCAAGAACGACGGAGAGAACCAGAAAGTGTTTTCAACTTGCGCTGCCCGTGACCAACCTCCCAGAGCATCGAATCAAGACAACAGCTTCAAAATTCAACAAGTCAAACTCACCAACTTAAGTCTTCCGATTAATATTTTATTTATATCATAACTTACACCCATTGTCATGCTTTTAGATTGTATGAGGACTAGATAGCTACTAAAATGTTAAATCACTATTTTCATTTGTGGGTTAGACCCTAGACTGAAGTCCATGGTACACCAGTTTTTTGAAAGACGAATCCAGATATATAGTAAAATCACCATGTAGCCACATAATACAAATCCGCTCTGGTTTGCCCACGCAAACGTCCTCGCAGTATTTCTACGTTACCGAGTGCTACAGGATATTTTACAAAAACCACCTAATTTTTCAGTAATGCGTGACACTATAGGAAACAAAAACAACAACAAAATCGTGCGTGACATTATACGAACATGTTACATATCCTTTTCTGGTTCATCCAGGCTGAAGTCTACGCAATACAGTTGCTGAGTGCTTCGGGATATGTGACAAAATCGTGATAGTGATTTTTCCGTCGTGCGTGACATTATAGCTAGGAACATGTTACATATCCTTTTCTGGTTCATCCAGGCTGAAGTCCATGCAATACAGTTGCTGAGTGCTTCGGGATATGTAACAAAATCGTGCTAGTGATTTTTCCGTCGAGCTGTTTCCAGAATCGCTCGGCATTTCTCGTAAAGAATTACATTATGTACTCGAGATTTCTATCTCTCAAAGT